GAGGTGTATAATGCACAGGATAAAGCAAAACGCATGCCATTTTTAATCCTAGAGAATAGTAATATGCATGCATATTATATGCACAATGAGAAGAATTAATTAGAAAAGACTACGGTAGTTTTTTTATTTTATTTTGGCTACAAAACTCATGTTTTGTTTGATAAAAGTTACATTACAAAGCGAGTTGCTTCCTCGGGTGTTGTTAATGCAATTTCCTATAGTTTTAAATTAAATGTATAACTGTAAGGTAGTAGAGAATATACATATCATGCAGTATTTCATAAGGGAATTAAAATAACGTAACTACATTTCGAATGTTGATTTAAAATTATATCCTATAAATTATTGATGTTATTGTTTGCCATTCGAAAAGTTTGTTTGAAGTTAAGCACAAAGATACACAATGGACTACCTGTGCTCTGCCCACCACGGATATCGAAACCCGGTTTTAGCACTGCAAGTCCGTAGACATGCCGCTGTGCCACTGGGGACCATTCGAAAAGTAATTATAAATGTGGACTTATTCATACTACGTGTTATTAACGTGGGAGTAGAATTGAAAACTAAGTTACATACAATGTATTTTTACAATGAAAAAAAACTCACAAAATGTTCTACCGTATTCTAGATGAGATAGTAATACGCATGCGTAAGGCTCTGATAAAAATTATCCATTATATGATGTACTAGAGCTCTTGTTGAAAATATCACCAACAGGAGAAAACAAGAGCAATGTGCGCAGGTGCAAATCTTAAAAGTTTTGAAATTTTTATATTACTAGCTGAAATACCCGTCAACTGACAGAACATGTTTAAACTTATTTAAAACAATGTAAGTTTAATAGAAATCATATATTTCTAAGTAATAACTTGAACATAAACTTTATCTCAGAATCTTAAAATTATAACAAAGCTTCTTTATAAACAACATTTGCAGTTTGCTTTCCATCTATCAACAAAAAGATTTTGAGGTGATCCAGCCTTTAGCCACCCTACATCTCATTGACCATGAGAAAAGCATAGTCTTTTGAGAAACAATCCAGCAACTTTTATACTTTGACTTTGAATCCATTTATAATATTCAACATTGTCTAAAGCCTCAACCTGCTAAGATTGTTTGAGGTTGACTCAATAGGCTGAGAGTAATTAACCAACAGGCTTTACGAAATAGAAATAGGGTTAAGTTCAATTTTGACCTCCTTGGGACATTACCAATAGTTCATGGTGTTTCCATACAAATTTTGGTTGAGATTGACCCAATAGGCTCGAAGGAGTTCAGGTACAAAGAAACACACATTTCGTCTTTTAATATATATATATATATATATATATATATTCAATGTCTTCGACCAAAAAAACAAAACATCAATGAGTGGTATCTGTATCTATGACAAAACTATACACAACATTACGTCATATATCAAACATCATTATATTACATAAACTAACTATAAATGTTTTGTTTTTCCTAACAGTGGTTAAATTTCAGGTATTGTACTGCAAATATTACAATCCCGAACAATAATAATAAAACCGAAATGATTGTTATCCAAACATAAAATGTCTGCGTATGGCTTCTTTCCTCCCTCTCTGTTAATACACAGACACAATTTCAGCAGTTGATCTAGTAGTAAATTTAGCCATTTTATTATGTCGCAAATGTCATCAATTACTTGTTGTTGTTGTTTTTATTTATAAACATACTTAATATTTACGCTCTATAATTAATACCAACATGTTCCTTTTGTAAACATATAGTATGTTTTACCTTGACAACCATATTGAATATTTTCTGCTTATTTCTTCTTTGGAGATGTTTTCATCACCAAAGCTTTTTGCGATATTTTGTTAATGTTTGACTCACAGGAAACTAGATCACCCTGAGGCTGTCCACTAATATACACAGGTGCATAGTTTAAACTACGTGTACGTTACCATGGTAGGATTGTCAGGACAATGGCGTCACTTACGCTTTCCATCTGCTGAGTTGTAGCACGAAAAAGTGTACCATATTTCGTTTATCAATGACGCACCCTGATTTTCTAATGACCCAGCCAAAACTGCCTTTAGGGAGTGGAAGATGCTCATGTGTGACTAGGCAGTTTTAACATGAAGCGTTTTAACGTTTCATTTTGTTAATAATGAACTACAAGGTGATAACTTGTAAAATTATGCTCGTACAAAAATTCTAATTTAGGTTTCTATAATCAAAATCCACCAAAAGTCTTGTAGATATCCACGCAGAATAAATCTTTCAAACACTTAATAATACCTCCCAAGGCGACCAATATGAACAACAAATACATATACCACACAAGACCATTACTCAACTGGATAACACCAGTTGTGACGTGAATGTTGTGACGTTTTAGATAACTACTCAGTTACAAGCGCAACTATATTTTTAAGTTCTTTAATCATAGTATTCACAATTATTAAAAACAGATCATCATGAATGATCGATTTCATTATGTAGTAACTTCTTCCAGAAGAGCTACCAAAAATCTTCAGTAAAAATTATAATTAAAGCTAATTATTATTATTAATTGCGAGTCACAGGCAGACCACAAAAAGCCTCCATGACTACTAGCCCCAGATCATCGGCTGAGTACCCTCACTCAGGAATAATCACAGCAAACAATATAAAGATATTTCCCCGCAAAAGTTGGTTACATTAAAATGTTTTCTTAAAAATAAACAGAACACAATAAATACAGACTTTAATTTTAGGCTTCAGTTTACCAATGAATTCGGTGAATCAAGCTTAACATTTTATTGAATATTTTCTAAGAGAACAACAACAATAGTAGATTTCACTGTAAAAACCAAAAAGAATGATATATTCAGTGATAAATCTTCCCCTCACACCCACCTCTCTTTGCATTGCGATCCTACTGTTCTACCAGTAAATTGTGACAAATGAGCCTTCCAGCTCTTCCACGAATGGGCAAAGTGTATTTCGTCATTGTGCAAATCTCCGTGCTTGAATGTACAAATAACGTCTAGCCATCTAAAGAGTATTTAATAACAGCAAAGGTGATAGTTGGTCATTTGGCCAACCAAAGTCAACCTCACACCTTAACCCCTCAACTTTACGACTTGTTTACATACCGTTCACTACCGGTGAGGCCAACATATTGCACCGAATTTAGTAATTTTTATATTTTTATCTGTTACAACCCTTGGTTTTTAAAAAACCGATCAAAAACTTGGTAAAATCGCTCATTTTCTACCTAAGATACATAGGAAACACCAACACTAGTTAGTCAGATAACTGCAATAATGACGGCATTTTGTGTGTGGTACTGGATCGAATATTATTACATATTGGTGATCCGATAACTGACAAAGTCTGTGTTTAAAACTAAAAGTCGTAATTCTAAAGTTAAACAACGTAAAAACAACTGTCTAACTGTTACCTTTTACATCCATCTCATTAGGAAAAGCATTATACAAATTAGCAATTCTCTTTGAGAGGCAGTTATACTAAATATGTTTGGTCTAAGTTTTAAAATTTTATTCTTACTACTTTAATATACCATTCATAATTCTCAGCCTTTTCCTTCCAAAAATATATAT